TTAAGGTGCTCTATCAAAATTGTGAATTTTATGACCATAGGGTCTCACGTTTACCCCTGGGGAAGGGGGAGGGGCAAAGTTTATTATGGCAAATGATACTATGGATATTACATGTTGATAACTTGATTGGAATTATAACCTTGAGTTGACAGTTTGATACTTTGAACATTTTGAGCCAGCTCTACCCCCAAGGGCACCCAAAGGAGTCGGTGGGCTAAAATTTCTACACTTTCCTTGTTTAGAATCAGAGGTGCTTAATTCAAATACTTTTCAGTCTTAAATTTGTATGCTAGATATTGAATAAGGTTGTTTTATTGTTTTTTGTCACTTTGAATAATACTTCTGTTCATGTTTTAAAAACAAAAATCAACTCTCTGTATAAATATATCAGAACTCGGGTGATCGTTAAGGCCCATGGGCCTCTTGTTATATCTTATTTTGTCCACAGCCTACACTTCTGAACCGTTAAAGATATTCTAATTACACTTGAAGTGTACATGCATTACCCACAGAAGGTGTGCAGTGCACTGGAATTAGGTTGTGTGCCCCACTATATACAGAGTTATTGCCCTTTGTTTATTTTTGATACCAAAGTTTGTGCAAGGCATAACTTCCATGTTATTTCACCTAGCTACGTTGACCAAACTAGCTATAGTTATATATGTATCTTGGGAAGAAGGAGTGTCGCATTATAAATTCGGGTCTCGTGCCCCACTATATAAAGAGGTATGGCCCTTTGTAAAAAAAAATATACCGAAGTTTGTCAATTTGCTTATAAGGGGAGACATAGGAGTTTCTAATTATTTTCTCCTATCCTTTTGTATCAATCCAGTACCAATACCTATCTCCCTGTAGGTGGTGACTCATATAATCTTTCCTCGCCTTGGGAATAAGACAGAAAAATCTCAACCCTTGGGTAAGATTCTTAAAAGTTTGGCCCTCAGATTTTTTTCTCCCACTTTAAAATATTAGTGCCAATTTCATTAAATGGAAACAATGATTTCATACGCTCCAGCAAATCAGAGTTATCTTCAGTGATCTACTTTTGTTGATGAGACGTCATTGCATTGTTGACATGACGTCAGTGAATTGTTGACGTGACTTCATACAATTGTTATGAAAGGAGAATCCCCAGTCTTTACCCAAGGGTTAAACAGAAATATCTTTCCCTGGCCAGAAATGGGGATATCTCTGTCTAATTAGGCACCTCTTGACCAGTTTTGTGTACATATGTTATTTTTCTTTTATCAAATGGAAATGTATTACCTTTTGCCATGTGAAAAATCAGCTTTGAGATTAAATGTCAAATTACAAGAGCTAAGTAATTGGTAGATTTGTCAGACTGAAAACATATAATTCTTTAAGTTCAATAATTAGGATCTGAAATTGAGCATGAAATTCACTCTTAGCAATTAACACCTAGCTCATCAATGTTTGCACTTGGATATCTTTCACTCATGGTCTGTTAAAGATACCAACTCAAATAAATATCTTCCACAGAGTGTAACCTTTCCATTTTAAATTGACTAATCAGAACCATATTTTCTATCAAGACATATGCAAATGAGAGACAAAATTGGGTTGTTTTGGTACATCTTTGATACATAGGCATTTTCGTAACTACACAACTGATTTTATTTTGTATTAAGCAAATCTTACCAGATAATAGCAGAAAAATGTGTATTAATTAAGTACCCTATTAAGAACCGTGTGCAGCCCTGTTGTCAGACATGACGTCATTAGAATATGGTGCCTAATATTACATCACTTACCCACTCACATTTTGATGAATAACTATTCTTTCTTTATGCTTTAAGTTGAAATTAATAGAAAACTTTCTCATTAAAACCACTTAAAATTACACTCTTATTGAGAATATGCTGATCTTTTGACTCCTGTTTTGCAGTCATAAAATATGTAATGGCAGGAAACCATTTAATATCCGCTGTGTACTTTTTTACAGAATGGGTCTTGTGCTTCACTCCGAAAAATGTTGTGGATCAGCTTCTGCACGAGCATCGTTTGGTCACGGACATTCTCATGGCGGAGGAGGACATTCTCACAAACATTCCAGTCACTCAGATGATTCAGCTTACGAGCGATTAATTCAGCATGAAAGTGATCATGAATTGGTTCCGAATGTCCAGTCCACAGAAGTACACCCAACCCCCAAACACCAGAACAAGAAAAATATCAACGTTAGAGCTGCCTTTATACATGTGATAGGAGACATTATACAGAGTGTTGGAGTATTAATAGCAGCACTCATCATCAAACTTATGGTTTGTACCACAATATTAAAGTACAGGGGCCCAGTTACAGTCCAGACCCTAGTTCAGGAACGTTACTCCATAAAATTCTATAGACTAATATTACCAGGAGATTTAAGTAATTCAAAAACATATAAAAGAAAGAAAAAAAATTGCCGAAAAATTCACGTTAAGCAAGGTTAGCTTCCTAACGTTCATGTACCATATTCAACTAATTTAGTGCCCCATCCCCTTTACTAGTCCAAATATCCCATTTCTACATATAATTCTATTTCATTTATTTGAGAGAGAAAAATGTGTGTATTATGCCATTGGTTCGAGAATGATCTGCAATGTTTTTCCTGTATTGCTCAGCATCTAGGGCACTTATTAAATGGAACCAATGTTTTGTGCAACATTTTAATAAGATCGCATTGAAAAAGATATTTCAATTCTTTTTCTCTCTAACAAATATTTTGTTCAAATTTTTAGATTTCTAAATAACTCGATAAAGACCTCAAACAAAAAATGAGATGACTGGTTTGTAGTTTTATTCCCAATTTAGCATCATCAACAAATATTCAAACAATACCTGGATAGAATCTATAACTACTATACTTTACTCTATGTAATCCAGATTTTCTATTTTGTAGCCTGATCCCAGTTACAAGCTGGCCGATCCTGTATGTACATTCCTCTTCTCTATCATCGTCCTCTTCACCACAATCTTCGTACTACGTGACACGCTCCAGATAATGATGGAAGGTATGTGTGGTGTAGGACTGTAAATAAGTCAGATGTGACATCATTAAATGTACATTCTTAAGGATCCCTGTCACACTGCACTGTGGTTTTTAGCTCACCTGGCCCGAAGAGCCAAGAGAGCTTATGCCATGGTGCGGCGTCCGTCCAGCGTCAACTTTTTACTTTGCACAACTTCTTCTCAATAACAAAGAGGCCTAGGGTGATGGTATTTGGCCAGTAGCATGCTAGGAGGAAGGACTACCAAGTTTGTTCAAATGAATGACCTTTTCCCATTTTCAAGGTCACAGGGGTCAATTGTCTTAAAAACATTTACAACAACTTCTTCTGAATAACCAAAAGGCCCAGGATGATGATATTTGGCCAATCACATACTGGCATGAAGGGCTGCCAAGTTTGTTCAAATGAATTACCTTGACCTATATTCAAGGTCACAGCAATGTTGATTATATATTATGTTTATTTGCATATAAAAGTCCCATACGGTACATGTATGATTTTCTTTTCAGAATTGATTTATTAAAGCCATAGTCATGACAGAAGAAAAGAAACGTCAAATACTAAGTTACAGTTTCTAGCTCACCAGACCAAAGGGCAAATGAGCTTATGCCATGGCGCAGCGTCCGTCCGTCAACTTTTCCTTTAAAACACTACTAGTCCTGAACGGCTAAGTAGATTTTTGCTAAATTTGATCTGGAACATCCTTAGGCCAAGGGGACTCAATTTTGTATAAATGGTGGGTGTGGCCCCCCTGGGGGCGGAGGGGTGGGGCCCTATAGGGGAGATAGAGGTAAAACCTTTAAAATCCTTCTTCTATCATAGGGATTAAGAGATCTTATTCGAATTAAGTCTGGAGCATCCTTAGGCCAAGGGGACTCAATTTTGTATAAATGGTGGGTCTGGCCCCCCTGGGGATTTGGTCCATATTTGGTCTGAAGCATTCTTGGGTGAAGGGGAAATATAGCAAATTCTTTAAAATCGTTCTTCCTCTGTAGGAATGAAAGGATTTGTTCAATATTTGGTCTGAATCATTCTTGGGTGAAGGGGAACCAATTTTGTATAAGCCGTGGGTCTGGCCTACCAGGGGCCTGAGGGGCGGGGCCCAATAGGGAAACATAGCAATTTATTCTTTAAAATCCTTCTTATTCTATAGGAATGAAAGGATTTGGTCCGTATTTGGTGTGTAGCATCCTTGGGTAAAGGGGAAGAAATTTCGTATAAACGGTGGGTATGCCCCCCCCCCCCGGGACCTGAGGGGCGGGCCCAATAGGGGAAATAGATGTAAAACCTTTAAAATCCTTCTTCTACCATAGGGTTTAAGGGATTTTATCCTAATTTAGTCTGGAGCATCCTTGGGTCATGGGGACTAAAATTTGTATAAGCAGTGGGTGTGGTTTCCAAGGGGGCAGAAGGGCGGGGCCCAATAGGGGAAATAGAGGTAAACCTTTAAAATTCTTCTTCTACCATAGGGATGAAGGATTTTTTCCCTATTTGGTCTGGAGGATCTTGGGCAAAAGGGACTCAATTTTGTATAAACAGTGAGTGTGGCCTCCCTGGGGGCAGAAGGGCAGGGCCCAATAGGGGAAACATAGCAAATTTTTCAAATACCTTCTTCTTCTGTACGAATGACAGAATTTTGTCCAAATTTGGTATGAAGCATCCTTGGGTAGAAGGGGAACCAATTTTGTATAAATGGCGTGTCTAACCCCCCTGGCGACAGAGATGCGGGGCCCAATAGGGGAAATAGAGGTAAAACCTTTAAAATCCTTCTTCTACCATAGGGATTAAGGGATTTTATCCTAATTTAGTCTGGAGCATCCTCGGGCCAAGGGACTCAATTTTTAGGTCACCTGAGACAAAGTCTCAAGTGACCTATTGCGATCGCCTTTTGTCCGTCGTCGTCCGTCGT